TTGCGGAACACTCGTTCGACCATTAAACGCCGGCAATAATCCGTCAAATCGACCATCGATCTCCGCTTAGTTCCCGTGTCGTTGTTAGATGGCGCTAAACTACGGAGGGAGAACACCCGGTTTCTATAGCGACCGACACCAGCGTTTCCATCCGTAGACGACCGTCGCCATCTGTCGAGTAAAATCTTTATATTCTCCGTCCATTTATAGAAGACCGCGACGAAACTGTTAAAAAACGAATTATATTTACAACTACTTATTATTATCTTTTTTGCTCGAACGCGAAAGTATCGGAATGGTGTCGATTGCGGTTAAATCGCCATTAATACGCCAGGAAAATACAAAATGCGGGACAGTCGTAGATTAGGGGTGCATTTCTTCAAAATATATTTATGGAATAATTGATAAATTAAAGGCTTTCCCGATTAAAAGGGAAAAAGCGTTGTCGTCGTATCGCGCTAAATAACGTCGATTCTAACGATAAATATGCGACGGCGAAGTCGTTCGGAAGTCGCCGAATTTCTTTAAACGTATTAAATTTAAAACTAACCGTCTTAATTTCTAAAAAACTTAGCGATTCTACCACGATTTTCGGGCGAATTGCGTCTGATCTGGCCATAAATGCGGCAAAATAGACAGGGTAAAATATCGTGTAATCGTCTACAACAGCGATTCCCAACCTGTGGTACGCGTACCCTTAGGGGTACGCGATAGGTTGTTCAGGGGTACAGAAAAAGTTAGTTATTATGGCAGAAAAAATAATATATTATGTATCACAAACTAATAGTATTAAAAAATTATTAGATAAAAAATGTTCCTTGCAACAATCACAACTTTATTATACATTTTTTCTTTTAGGTATTTTTCTTTAATTTAAAGTTACAATATGTAAAATTAACAATACGGTTACTCACTAAATTTCTTAAATAAGGGGTACAATCTAGAGATATGACATGTCATGGGGTACAATCTAGAGATATGACATGTCACGGGGTACGCTAATGAAAAAAGGTTGGGAACCACTGGT